TGAAATTTACTGTGCTTGTTGTTAAATTATATTACAGGTTAAAAACTGTATTGACTCTTAAATGTGATTTAGGTTTAAATTGAAAAGAAAATAATTATTAGGAATACTCATGAGTAATGTCGTTTCCTTTTTCAAATTTAATAAACTACTAAATTGCCATCTAGTGATAATAATTTAATTGACTGTGACATAACCTATATTCTACTTAAATATATTGACATTTAGTTACTGTTGAATTATATTATAGGTTAAAACTGTACTAACTCTTAGATAAAATGAAGTTTTGAACTGTTCGACCTTCGTTCGACAAAGCAGAGATACCACTTTCGGAATTGTCGAAATATCTGAGAATAATTGCTATCCAAATATATGTAACGTAAGTTGGGTAATTGCGAATAATTATTAATATAGCAGCAATTGAGTTTGAACGTTTGAATCAATTAGAGCATCGATGCGTACCAGAAACGTTTATTAGAGTAGAATTCCATTGGGCCAATCGTTACTCGACATTCCCGTGATGTAACATAATTTTTCCCTTTAATCGTTCAGCCGTTGTTAATTAAGATCAGTTTCTCTTCCGATCATAGCGTCAAAAAGATTTCTGAAACAAAGTGTTCCGGACTCGGTGCTAACGACTTTTATATATGTTCGTTCGCTCGTTGTATAAAAATAATTATTAAACGATGAAAAATTGTACATAATAAATGATAAATAATTTTCCAACGTACGCAGCGAGCAACACGCCATTAATAACGTGTGCACGCGGATATGACAACGAGTATATAGCTACACAGAGGAGATAAGAGACGATTAAATAAAAAAAGGATCTAGAAAGTAGAATAGATCTGCTTTGGTCAGCCAACCGGTTAAAGTAAGTAAGATCCCCTCATTAGTATAACACTAGCGTCAAGCTAGAGCTATCGCGTCGCTGGTCGTTCCACTATCACGTAGCGTTGGAAAAGAAAAACGAAACAGGTCGAGCGCTAAAAATTGATCGCACATTTCCCATTCTTCGGATATTTTTAAATACGATGCATACCCTTTGCTTGTAACTTTACTGCGCGCGTCATCACTTTTCACGCAGCCGAACGATCCACGATATGGTTCTTCACAATGATTTTTCTTCGCGGAACAGGAAACGAAAGCGTCGGATTGCTGCGAGGAGCGCGCAGAAGAAGAAGATCTGGATGGGCACGAATTGTTGCCGTCCCCCGACAGCGGCAAATCAACGGACAACGAAGCAGCTCTGTCACCGATTAAAATACGATCCGATGTAAATGGACTGGACCACGAAGAATGCGACGAGCTGATTCACGTCGAGAACACCACGCAAGCTTGCATCATGCACACCCTTAGCATTGTAAGTAGCGTTTGCATAATTTCTCGTTTAAACCATTTGCACACGCGTTCGCAGTTCAGGTTCGACCTTCGTGTCCGCATTGAGAAAAATTTGCATTGCTTTGAAATCGATATAACATCTTGTTACTGCTATGCAATTCAAGAGGAACGGGCTGCAGCTTTGACTCTCGATGATGAATTTATCGTGGACATTTTGCGTAAACGTAATACCGGAGCGTACGCGAGTGGGCAAATTAAATTCCAATTAAATTCCTTTATTTCATTCAGCCATATTTATTAATTATACAGGCGTATAAAGTGCTCCGGTATATACACACACCGTGCGTAATTAAATCGGGTATAAACGTATTAATTTTTGCCATTTTGCCGATTGTGTTACTCAACGTTCCGTAATAATGATTCGTTTGCCTTTCGAGGCTCGATCGACTGACCGAGGCTTTAAAATCACGAAGAAATAATAGAAGAAATAATAGAGCCGATGCAACAAAAAGGAAATAGATTTTCCTCGCCTCGCCTCGTCAGCCAGCGTGTCTCGTTTACAGTGATGGATCTGAATCTCTATCTACGGAGTGACAGGCGGTACGACAGTGCGATTCGATGACAAGTATCGCGTCAAGTATCGAGAGATACTCGTCAGACGGAGGCGTCGAAAGACAGCGGTGGCAGCGCGAGAGAAACGCTTTCGCGATATAAATCGGAACGAGATCGAGGCTCGTTCTCCTCCTGCGGCTCGTTGTGCCATTTCGGTTTCACATTCACCGAGCGACAATCATTGGCAAATGGTCTCGCGAAAACCATCGTATCCACGCGTAATCACCGCACGTAAACGCGTTATAGCTTTCTCGCGATCAAGCTCGAAGATTTCCACGATGCATTTACCGAGGAGACGTCGTAACACACGCTTGGAAAAATTCACTGCCATTTCCCTCGCCCGACTTCACGCGCCACTGAAATGCACTCTTTCCTTCCCTCGCGATTAACGCGTCCCAACCAAGTAAATCCTTCTCTGATTTCGACATATCTCGACATATTTCTTTTATTTCATCATCTGCTGTCGATCGAATATTTCCGTGGATTCTATTTGGCTCCGCTCGTTCCTTTTTTCGTGTTCTTCTTTTGCAAAGCACGCTACGAAAGAGCAGCTTTCAATCATTTTCATAACACACATATACACACACACACACACACGCACACACACACACAGCGACTGCGCCTTCTATCCTTAATTATTACAGATACCCTTGCCTTGTACGTTGCAGGACTCGTCCTTGGAGCTCAACTCTGACACGAACTCGAGGGGAAGTTCTGGCCCAGTCATGGCGTTGACTAATGGATCCTTGTCCGCGAAGGAATAAGTCGGAAAAGTATTAGTCATTGCAACACACGGTTCTCCCTGTTCAGGGATTCCTGCACCAACGCTACCAATGAGACATATCGATCTCCTTTAAGGATAACACACCCCCTCTGTATATAGCTTAAATGCCTAACAAATAATTCAGGGTCGTCTCATGCCAGATCTGGGACCTATTTTGGCGAATTTAATATCGATGGATTTCGAATCGCCCCGAGGATTCGACGAACGTGAAAGATTTAAAGCGTTTCGCCTCCATTTACGTCCATCTCGTCGATTAATCCTCTCCCTTTCTTTCCCCCTTCTTCTTCTTCTTCTTCTTTCTCTTCTTTCTTCCATCCCTCTCCTATAGAATCTAGTCCTCAAGACAAATCGCTTTCCGCGAGTTCACGCTCGCGCGGACGAGAGCGTCGATTTCTTTATACATTCGCTCGTTTGCTCTATTTTTCTCTTTCTTTATCCTCGAGGATCTCACTCTTGGCGCAGACGAACGTGCGTACGTACGCGTCGCGGCTGAACTCGATGACATTCGGCAGCGCCCTGAGGAATTCTGAATGCCGATGAAAATACACGCTTGAACGACTTGAACGACAGTTCGGGAAAATCTTCTTCTAGCCACGGTATCTAATCTCGCCGTCTGTGATACGATATTAACTTTCTATTTGTCGATCTCCATCGTAGGAACGATGGCCATATGGACACGTGCAACCGGAAGATCCCGTTGAGAGATTTGTCCAGCAGAGAGACGAGCGGAGATTATCTTTTTTCCTTTTTTTTTTTTTTTTTTTTTTTTTTTTTTTTTT